AAGCACTTATTTTCACATTTTTTGGCCAATAATTTATATCTCAATAACTCTGTTGTCAAGCGATTCACAGATTGTTTCAATTCACACACAATTAGACACAATTCACGTCGACTTAAGCCATGGATATCACCACTAATTGATCCCATGTTTTGACAATTAAATAACACTTCAATTAAAAGAAAATATTTAATTAAAAGTGAATCAACAAAAATGTAAACACAGTTCACACGTGTATAGCGTTAGACATACATTACGTCCACAAAATAATGGTTAAACTTAATGTTTAAACACCCGCCAGGGCATTTGCCGGCGCCCGGCGGGCGCCGGCAGATTTATGAGGCGCTTATTTTTTCCGCCCGGCGTGTCGGAAGTTTTGTTAATTTGTAATTTTCTCGATAACTACTTAAGATATTAATGCCAAATGTTTTTCATTATATTGTCGTCATTGATGCGCGCATTTTAAGCCATCTAACATAGATGTCAGACCTACTGATCAATCGGTAGATTTATTCAAAAGTGGTGCCCTATGAGTGCTACATGTATAAGAAATCCAATATGGCCGGACAGTGTTATGAATGGGTGATAACATTATACATTGATTTGAGTGTGTCTGCGCTGGGTCCGAGACCGCTGGCAACATACTGATGCTTCATAATTGACTTCATACCAGATCATATACTATAAGTATGTCCTCAGACACTCAATGATCAACTATTTAGTCAACGCCCTGTGACCAACAATTTACTAAACTTATGAATACAATGAGTTAATGAGTAATTCAATTGATAGTGAAATTGTAATTAATGATTAATATGACATTCAATCATATAAATGGCAATTACTGGCCAGCGGTCTCGGACCCAGTGCCGCACATCCCTTCATTTTACCAATTGATTAAATAACTATTGAACCATTCATAATTTTGATAATTAAATGCATTAAATATAATGAGTTTAAATAAAACACGTTTTATTTATATTATAAAGTATGTGTGTATCCTATTTATATTATAAAGTATGTGTGTATCCTATTTATATTATAAAGTATGTGTGTATCCTATTTATAATTGTCTTGTTAAGAATAGATTGAGGATCAGATCATTCTTCGCCATTGACACCATTCGACCAACCGGTGCACTGGGTCCGTGACCGCTGGCCATGGCAATGATGGTGCATACATCCGAGTTAACCAATGTTAAGTTGTGTATAAACTGACATATAGCTGGTAGTGTTTTCTATTGAGTATTAGCCACCAAATGAACGATAAAGATTGTGAGCGGCCGAGTGCTCCCGTCGGGTGAATGATATGATTTTTTTGTATATGCGAGCAATGGTTAACACATTCAATTTGTTGTGTGTTTCATAGTAACACTGGTTTAATGTGATTGGCTGTCAATATAGTCACATGGGTAGTGGATAGTAGTGGTACATGTGCTGCCATCTCACCACAACTTATTTTTGAGGCACCCGCCAGGCGGGCGCCCAGTGGGCAGGTGCCATAAAAGGCGCTTATAGGAATAAACGCCAAATTTAATAACCCTAGTTAAACTATTAAATCTAATTAACGTAAGATTAAGTAATTTTGAATTAATTCATCAAATATTTAAATACAGTATTATTTTAGTCTAAAGTTTATTCAAGCAATATACAATTCATTATTGTATTATTGTATATTGTATATTGTAATTATTGTATATTGCAATTTATATAAAAATTAATTAACAAAATTTTAATACACAAATAAAAATTTACTTAAAAATACATGTTTGTTACTCTACAAACAATACACCTAAAAATTAATCGCATATTAAAAAATTTAGTATTAAAAATATACAGAATTGTACATGTTCAATTAACAGTCTAAAGCCTAAAGTGTAGCTATATTAACAGTTATTAAACTTAAATGCATGTAATTACATATTTGGTACAAAAGCATAAAAAAGCATGGATTTGACCAAAAATCATAATAAACTGTTAGAAAATTTACAATCAATTAAAATTAGTTTTAGTTTACAAACAAATATTAATTTATAAAACAATTATCTATCTTATTTTCATGAGGCATTAATGATAAAGTATTAACAATTGTGTTCACAGCAATTGTCATAGCGTTTAAAAAGAAATAATATATTTTGAATTTATATTCTGCTACTAATTACTAATATTTCAGTGAATTTCGCAGAGATAGCATTGTTTTCTTCCATTCATCGATGGCTTCTGGTTGTGGACAAATCCAGGGCTCTCTCAAGTGTGACAATTGGTGGGCCCGGAGGTCAGCCATGTCTTTGTAGACACCATCGCAGGCGTCCGCCTGACACACGCGTAGACCGTCGGATCTAATCCTAGAGCTCATCCCATAGATCTTTTTCTTGGTCTCGGCGTCCAAATGACTCAACGCGTGTTTCGGTAGAAGTGAGTGATCGGTGAATGACTTCCCGCAGTCCTTATGGCCGCACACATACTCGCCGTCTAATCCCTTTCGCATCCGTATACCAGCCATACATTCATCGCCCGATTTGTCGTCCATTTCTTCGTCACTCGAACCGAAATAGTCTTCTGACGGGTCTCTCAAGTGTGACATTTGGTGGGCCCGCAGGTGACGGATGTCTGTGTGTGAGGGGAAACGGGGGCACATAAAACACCGGAATGGACCGCCACCTATGCCTCCGCTCGGCGTAATTGATTTCTTGGTCTTTAAGTTTAAATGATTAAAACAATGCACTCTCAGACCAAATGATAAACTAAATTGCAATCCACAGCCCTTGTAGTCGCACCGGTAGTTCCCATTCGGTTGCTTCACAACAGGTTTCCCAGCCATCCATTCGTCGTCCTCAGTGTCGCTATCACTATCAGCTTCATTATCACTCAAACTGGTGTCGCAATAGTAAGCAAACGGTCGCTTCAAGTGTAACATTTGGTGCGCCCGGAGGTCAGCGATGTTTTTATATTTCGGATAACACGTATCAGTCATAAGACACTCGAATCGGCCGTCTGTCTGCACCTTAAATACCATTGATTTCTTGGTCTTTGCGTTCAAATGATTATAAGAGTGGACTCTCAGACCCCAGGAGTAACTAAACTGCAATCCACAGCCCCTGTAGTCACACAAGTACTTCCCATTGGGAGCTTTTCGCAGTTAATTCTTACTCATCCATTTGTCGTCCGAATTGTCACTCATATCGCGTCCATATTCTTGCGCTTCGCTGTCATTCAATTCACTATACATTGAAGTGTACTTTCGTTTACCACTAGGTCTACGAGTGTTATCTGTCGTTGCATTCAATTCACTTCTATTCATATCTTCATTCGTATGATTATTGTTGTCCTCATTGTCTTCGCCTCCCTTTGAATTGTTATTAATTTTATTGATTAATTCACTCACTCTTTGGCTATGAATTGCTCCTAAAATTGATTTGTTGGTCAATGCGTTTGGACCGTAGGTTTCGATTAAATGTTGTTCCATACGTGCCATTTGGTGGACTCGGAGGGCACCAACATCTTTATGGATGGCATCGCAACCCTGTTTACAACATTTGCCGTCGCGTCTCCTCTTAAAGACCAATGACTTCTTAATACTAGCGTCCAAATGATTGAACACATGTATTGCTAGAACCGAGTGATCTGTGAATGACTTCCCGCAGCCCTTGAAACCGCACACATACTTCCGGTCCGATCCCCGTGTGATCCGTATCCCAGCCATCCATTCATCGCCCGAATTGTCACTCATATCGCGTCCATATTCTTCCGATTCGTTGTCATTCACTTCGCTATACATTGAAGTGTACTTTCGTTTACCATTAAGTTTGTGAGTATTATCTGTTGTTGCGTTCAAATCACTTCTCTTCATAACTGACGCTTCATTCGTATGATTATTGTTGTCCTCATTGTCTTCGCCTCCGTTTGAATTGTTATTACTTTTATTGTTTGATTCACTCCCACTTTGGGAATGAATTGTTCCGTCATTTAATGCGGTCCTGTATCGGGTCAATGCGTTCGGACCGCAGGTTTCGATTAAAAAGTGTTCAAAGTGTGACATTTGGTGCATCCGGAGGGCAACGATATCGTCACGGATGGCATCGCAACCCCTTTTACAGCACAAGTATTGGCCGTCGGGTCTCCTCTTAAATCTCATTGACTTCTTAAGCCTAGGGTCGCAATGACTGAACACATGCATCGCTAGAAGCGAGTGATCTGTGAATGAATCCCCGCAGTCCTTGAAACCGCACACATACTCCCCGTGCGATCCCCGTGTGGTCCGTATCCCAGCCATCGTTTCATCGTCCGAATTGTCACTCATATCGCTTTCATTTAAAGTGTACTTTCGTTTCCGTGTATTATTGTAATACAATATTGGGTTCAATTCAATCCCTCTTTGATTATCATTTAAGTTGTCATTCAATTCATTGGTTTTATTATTCAAGTCTTCATTCATAGGATTGTTGTCCTCATTGTCGTCGGAATCATTTCCAACGCCTATTTCTTCATCTGTAACACAATCGATGCCAGCATTTGATTCATTGTCTTCAGAGTCGACCACTTCTTCAGCGCTGGTCTTCTCTCTATTGTCTTGTGTTTCATGTCTTGTATTGTCTTCTCTTTGAATCAACTCTTCATTAATGAATTCATCGCTCGTTTGACAACCAATTGATTGTAAATCTGTTTTAAATATTAAATAAAAAAATCAATTATAAAATCAAAACTCATTTACAAAAACCAATTGAATTGAAAATAACACAAATATTTACCATAAGTTTTGGCCAATAAAAGTAATTTAGATTTTGTTAACTCTGCGGACAAACTATTGTTCTCTTCTTTCAATTCACTGATAATTACACATAATTTGCTTTTACTTAAGCCATGAATATCACCACTAATTGATCCCATGTTTCGACAATTAAATGACACATAAATCAAACGCAATTAACTAAATGTCAACGTAACCAAAGTTCACACATGATTACAGTTAGACATACATTACGTCCGAAAAATAATCGGAAATCCAATGGATGTAAAAAGTTTTTACAACACTTTATAATTAATTAAATTGTTTATAAAAGTAAAATATAATACAATTAAGCAATAAATGTCTTAAATGAACATTAAATATAATCATGATTTTGTGTGAGTCTTCATATGTGCGTCCATTTGACCACATTTTGATGTCTTATAATCACATCCCGTATGAGAGCACTGGTAGTCATCCAAACCCTCGTGTTGTCTATGGATATGATTGTTAAGACGAATACCATTTGTGGTCTTATAGTCACACTCTGGCCAATGGCACCGGTAGTCAGCCAACCCTTTATGGACTCTTTTCACGTGGACAAAAAGTGAGGTTACATTAGTATAGGTGTGCCCACAACCGGGCCATTCGCACGGGTGGTGAACAGCGCCCGTATGTGTATTAATGTGGTCTCTGAGTTGATATTTCTGGGCAAACAGTCGGCCACAGTCGGGCCAATCGCAGCGGTATTTCAACGCATCGTTATGTATGCGTTTGTGTTGAGTTAATAATTTCTTGCTTTTGTACTTTAGTCCACACGTGTCGCACGCGTATGGCTTCGGGTGTGTCTTCACGTGTTGATTGAGTGCCGGGAGTGTAATGGCGGTGAATGGACAGCCGGTTTGCGGACATTTTCGCTGTTTAAAGTGTAATATTTGATGGCCTCTGAGATGTCCACTCCTTGTGAATACTTTATTACATCCGTCTATAAGACACACGTATTGGCCGTCGGATCTCCTCTTAAACACGAATGACTTCTTTGCCTTTGCATTCAAATGGTTGAATGCGTGGCCCAATAGTCCTGTGGGATTTTTGAATTGCTTTCCACAGCCCCTGTATTCGCACACATATTTGCCATTAAGAGACTTTCGCAAAGGGTTCCCAGCGATCCATTCAATGCCGTATTTATCGTCCATTTCATTGTCACTCAAACCGGATCCGTATTCTTCTGTTTCGCTGCCATTGTCTTCACTTTTCGCTGATTTGTCTTCTCGTTTGCCATTGGTCTTAGTGTTTAATTCACTCACTCTTTGGCTGTCAATTGATTCGCCATTTATTTCTTCACTCAATTCTTTCGGACACTCAATTGGCGGACACTTTAATAACGTTTCCAAATGTGACTTTGATTTGTGTTTTCGTTTGTAATTAGTTTTTATGTTTAATTCACTCCCGTTTTGGCTGTCATTTAATTCATTGTTCATATCGTCGTCCAAATCAGGTCTATATTCTTCAGATTCGCTGTCATTGTCTTCGCTATCAATTGAAGTGTAGTTCAGTTTATCATTAGGTTTACGAGTATTATATCGTTTTGTGTTTAATTCAGTGTCTCTTTGATTATCATATGATTTGCCAATTATTTGCTCATTTAATTCAATTGAATTGCTTT